CCGCAACCCGGCTTCGAAGGAGCGGGAAGCGTTTTGGGCCGTCGCTCCGCCGCCAGAACACGGGGCGGCTCACGTTTGGGACACTAAAAAAGAGCAGTCGAGAAAACAGCCAATTCCGTATTAACAAGAACAGAGTCTGACTCACCAAACATGCAGCTACCTGCCTTGTGAACCGCAGAAATCCTGTCTGAGAAACAGCATGTCTGAGCAGCCAGGCAGGAAGGTCAACCGTCTTCCAGGCACCCCGAGATCTTTCCTGCCTCGGAAAGTGGGGAGGGATTCCGGCCCTATGAGTGTGATTCCCTTGGCCAGTTATCAACAGGGGCAGCCCCTTTGCTAGCTTTCCCTCCAGGAAGCCGGGCAGATGCCTTCAAGAGAGAAGACGTCTCCGTCTGCAGGGCGCCTTCCCCAGAGAAGCTCACCGCACAGCCCCTTCCCACCTTCTCAGCACCGCTTGAAGAATGATGATTCTCTTCCCCATTTTAAGGGCCATTGCTGTGTTTTAGAACAGTGCTTTTCAACCTTGGCCACTTCAAGATGTGTGGACTTCAACTTCCAGAATTCCCCAGCCATGGTTGCCAAAGTCGAAAAACACTGTTTTAGAACTATTGTTCTGCTGCCATTTCATGATCATGGTTTATACTCCAGTTGTTACCATTTTTATTGCAGTTTATGATTTAGTTTAACCAATATATCTACCTTGATCACTGTTGATTACCACTAAGACGTAAATAACAGAGGTACAGAAGTATTCAAACGGAATAAATTAATAGGACAATTCATTAAATAGGACAGCATTTAAATACATTCAATTTTATTTAGAATCAAAGAATAGCACAATAAAAAAAACACATTCATTCAGACAAGGAAAAAAGTGGTTTAGAAGACAAATAGGAAATACTAAAGAATAGTATGAGGTTGGATTTTTCAGTTCTTTTCTTTATTTATATGATTTATATAGCTGCCCATCTCACACATGACTCTGGACGGCTTACAAGATTAAAACAGACAAGCCCACCAAACATAAATGGTGACTCGCCATCGATGGGAACGGAGCTCATTTACCCACCTGATGGATATGCCTCGGGAAACAGCCTGGTCTTCAGCCCCTTGGGAAAGGCTGGCCGGGGTGGGGCCATCCAAATCTCTGGGGGGGGGGTGTGTCCCACCGAGGTGGTGCCACCGAGAAGGCACCGCTCCAGGGTCCCACAAGATGACATGGTTTCATAGAAGGCATCCAGAGCTTGCCCTCTGCTAGATCAGGTGAGGTGGGCAGAGACAGTGGGAGAAAGGCAGCCCCTATGCCAATTTTCTTGTACATAAACTGCAACTGAGCAAAACTTTCAGGCTGCCTCTGATACACCTGGAAACAGATTGTGCTGGAATAAATTCACATACAGTAAACCCTCCAGTAACAGCCCTTGATTTATTGGACCTCAGACTTAATGGACGTGATCGGCTGGGCAGGGGCATTTTGTGCTGGGACATGAAAAGGCAGTGAGGGCTGATGGGGAACAGGGTGGCTAGTGGGATATGCCCTGCTGGAAGGGACAGAGGGACACCGCTGCCTCCCCCCATTAACCCTCAGTTTAACAGACTTTCAGCTTTCACGGGCATCCGCTCTCCCACAGTCTGTTAAATTGGGGGTTCACTTGATTCAGTTCTGGGCATGTCCAAGATGGGTATTAGCATTTATCTAATTCTCTCTAAACTTGCTGTTTTTTCCTTATTTTCTTGACTTTCAAACTGAATTTAGCTCAGACTTTTTCTGCTGACAAATTCTTTATGTAACACACTAAATTTGGCTACCGTTTTGGCTGGGGAGAGGAAACTATACATAAAATTCATTGGTGGAACCTAACTTTTTAATAGGAGATTCTACAATGAACTTACAAGAAACTCTATGAAAAGAAACTCTCGCTTGAGTTGAGCTTCTCCTGGGGATCTCATGGATGCACCTGTTCAGTTTGGGCGGCAATAGTTTGCCCTTGGATTTTTCCAGAGTGTTTTTCAACTTCCCAGTGTGGCACTTGGGATTTTCAAGTCCTCCATTAGGTTCAGTCCTGCTTAGTTTTCAAGGTCAGCCAACCTCAAACTTCCCCCAGACTGGGTCTATGTATAACATTCAGTAAACCTACTGGTGAATTGGAGCTGAGAGTTAGGTCTGGATTCTGGAACTCAGCCTCATGCAATGAAGAGAAGTAACACTGTAAGGGTGAAGAAATCTTGAAGCGTGCACAGAGCACAATTTGATTGCCTCCCTCTGCAGCATTGTGTAGATTTTTGGTGGAGCTTTTGGAATTTTTAAGAAAACAAACATATCCCCTTTTGATTCTGTACTTTTTTTCATGGCTGACCCCTTCTCGCTGCCATTTTGGGCACCTCTGACCAAGAGTCTAAGTGGGCTTCAGCCTTTACTACAGTGGTTCTTAAATCTCAGACCTGACTCGAATGCCTCCTAGAATTTTTTTTTTACACATTAATGAGTAAGTAATGTTTGCAGTTTGTATAGACCTTGCCTATATCTAGAAAAAACATTTGTTTTAAAAATGTGAAATCAAGTGTGCTGAAATGCAGGTGGAACTTCTTCCTCCTCCAAGACCTGCTTTGGGAGCTGGTCAGACTGCTCCTTCAGGACCACCTGGCCTGGCTGCTCCGTGGCTTCCGACCTCAGCTTCCTCTGGAGGAAGACCCAGTTCAGCCCTCCTGCGGCTGTGCCCTATTACTTCTGCTCCCGAGGGGGCCAATCTTGCTGGGCCCTTTCTCCATCTGGCAGCATCCAGGAGGCATACAGCCCCCCCCAAGGAAATGTGCAATGGGGCACATGCAGGCAACTGGCCAGCTCCAGACAGGAACAGATTCCTAGTTTAAGCTGTTTTCCAGGCTCTGGCTGCATCAGTGTGCTTGCCAGCGCCCGCCCTCCTCTCTCTATGGGTGGGAGGGACGCCTTCGCAAAGCCAACCTCCCTGGCTCTTCCTGCGATGGCAGTGGCAGCCAATGTGCCCGACAGCAGAGCGGCCTTGCTGACTGGGTGTTCTCCATCAAAGCAGCCCTCTATTGGAAGCGCAGCTCTGCTCTTTGAGGAGGAAATGGTGAGGAATGGAAGGCTGTCCTTCTAAGAGCTTCGTGCCAGGATAGAGGCGAGGTTGAGCTGCATTCCCGACCTCGGTGCAGAAGGGCAGGCGGGGCCCATCCGCAACTTTCCTAGTCCTGCGCAATCCATGGTCCCTGCAGGAGTTGTGGAACCCCCTCCCCCACTGATCCAGAGCCCTCAAGTCCCTTGCCAAGGATGGGCATCCCAGCCTCTGCCTGACCCCCGTCCCCAGGCCTCCAGAGGGTTTCGGAGCACAACTGTGGCACCCTCAGGGTGGGGTGTGTGTGCCAGTCTTAGACACCTGCCCAACAGGCTCGCCTTCAGTCCAAGCACAGAAACCTGGTTCTGCCTGCAGGATGGACTCGGGACTTGCAACAGGCCCTTTTTTGTATGGCTTGGCATGTTGTAGAAACCTAGAAAATGTATTAATTCAGTAACCAAGTTAAGTGTGTGGCATGGATTCAACCATTACAGTTTTTGAACCCACCATCACAATGTCTCTGAGGATTCTCTGAATGGGAAGGTGGGGTATAAATTAAGGCTACCACATCTGGGCAAATGATGAACATCCGAATAGGGATTTTTTCAACTTCATGCAACAATTCTTGCTGATCCCTCCATTGCATCAGAAACCCCAAGAGCAGCCGTGGGGCTGGGGACAAAGAGTGCTGTTCCCTTGCCAGCGCCTGGTGCTGCAACCTTTTGGTTAAAGTTTAACTCCCCTCCGCAGCTGCCATGAACTTTGCCTGACATCCGGAGGCAGAAGGGGGTGCCGAGTCATCCAATGGATCCCTGCAAAGAGATCCTTGTAGGCAGACGGGTGCAACTGCCTGCTTACTTCGGGGTCGCTAAGCCAGCATTTGCAGGCTTCAAAAGCTGGGCCTCCTCCCCACTCAGTTCAGGTTGAGACCAAAATCTCCATGGGGTGACCCTTCCAAAATTTACAGCTGGCAATGTGCAAAGGGCAAGGGCCATTTGTTCCAGCTCCGTACGTGTCAGTGTCCTGGGCAGGCTTCCTCTGCTTCAAGTGGGGCCTCACTCAGAGGGGCAGCGGGCAGCAGCCTTCCCACTCATGCAGGGTTGCAACACTGCAGCAGCACTCGTCTCATCCCCACAAGGCCAGGGCTGTGACTCAAGCCAAAGGGAATCAGGAAGCTCCCTTGCAGCTCGCAGGCCGGCTTCATGCTTTGAAATTCTCCTTTAGCACAGCGGCTGTGGTGTTCTGGTGGACTTATTTTCTACACAGAACATGGGAACTTAAGTTCCCATCTGCTTTATTTAAGGGTACTTATGAGGAAAAAAGAATCAGTTGGTGAGTAGGCAGTCTATTGAATTAATAGAATAAAAAGACGGCTTTGAGGAACAGCATCTGGGGTGGTGGGACTGCCGGAAGCAGTGGGAGGGGCCTTCTGGAAAACCACTCTCTGGGCAGGGGTGTGCGTCTGAATGGGGGCCTTCTTGGCACACTCTTTGCCTCCAGTCTCCCACGTGGAGATGAGACTGCCTAGATAGGACTCTTGCGGGAGACCCAGAGAAGTGGCCAAGGAAATCCACCTGTCTTTTCCCCTGCCTGTTCCTGATGGTTTGATGAGACACAGACTGACTTTCAAAATCCCTTCCAAGGAAGAGAATTTAGGGCGAGACAACGTCCTTCCATTTGCAAGATGGTCACCTTTCGCTGCACAGCTATTGGCTTGCGGCCTCTTGCCTTCCCGCCTGCCCTCCAATCCCAGGAAGACCCCAGAAGGGAACGCTGTGTCCCAGGGATCCCTAACCCTTGGGAAATTGTCCCCCTGCCCAGTTCTTGGCCCACAAATTTGGTGGGGAATCCGTAAGGGCTGTCTGGGTCCAGTGCAATGCAGAGCCCCCGCAGGGATGGCCATTCCAGTCACTTTGCAATGTGAAGGGAAATGAACGCTGCCCTGCCCGGTCCGGCCGAAGAGCCCCCAGGAGGAACAGAGGACAGAAGGGGCATCGAAGGACACTTTGGGGGAGTTGCTGCTTACTATACTTGGCTGGTTGAGTTTCTTCATTTTCATTCTTTTATGGTCTCGGTTGGGTTTGTTTCATCTGTATAACTGGTGGCCCAGAAAGGGCACGTGACTTCACAAAGCCTCCTCCCTCATGGCTGCAAAGGAAGGGCCGCGTTTCACTGGTGTAGGGCAGGCCTCGGGTTTTATTTACAGGGGACAAATAGGTTATTTTCTCTTTCCAAAGTCTGCTTGCGGTTAATACCTGAGTGACCCAGGCTTTAATCAAGTTCCGTTTTAGAACAGTGAGCATGGCTCGTTGTCGTGGAGCCTCTGGCGGGCATCAGATGGTCCCCAACACCCTCCGCCTTCCAGGGTCATTCTTAGAGGTACAGTGATTATCCTTTGGGAAGCCAAACAGCATTTGTCACCCTCGCACTCAAATGGATTCTGGCTGCATTCACACAACAGGCCTAACCTGATTATTCTGTTTTCTGGGTTCATGCAACACCCCGGACCAAAGGGCTGTGTTGGACCAATGCTAACTTAACGTGCCTAAACTCATCCTGGCTGACTCGCAGCACAGTCTTCTCCGAAGGCAGTTCTTGGTCTGGAGGGTCTCCCCACAGCAAGTCCTTTCCTGTCTCCTGGGGAAACCCCAGATCCTGGGAGGCCAAGGGGCTGTGACACAGAAGAGGTCCTGCTTCACTGGACCGGCCACCTTGAGGTCTGGTGGGTCTGAGGTTCGAGGGGTCCTTCTGAGTGGGAGAAGCCCTCCAACCGCCTGACCCTTGACCCATCCCCCTCCGTGGCTCCGTGGCCTTCCTGCTCCGCAGCCCCTCCCTCTGGGGACCCTGCTCCAGTGTGGGGTGAAGCAGCAGATCCGGTTCAGGAATCCCAAGTTGAAGGCCTGCTGGACAGAGGGCTCCAGGGGGCCTGTGGGCCAGCCCAACCCACAGCCTCACGTGGGGGGGGCAGAATTGAGCCCCCACCCGCCCGCAAGAAGCTGCTAACGCAAGGCTTTCGGGGCAAGGGCGCACAGAAAGGAGGACGAGGGCGGGAGAGCGTGCAGCCCCTCCGGGGTGGGCTGAGACCCGGGACCGTCCCGCGCAAGCCTGGATCGGGGCGGAGCAGCGGCTG